CATGCATATGATGTGATCCTGGAATATCTGTTTAACCTATATTTTCACCTGCAATGTTTTTAATTTCACCCCCGATTTATTCGAGACATTTTGAGAGTGCTCCATATATTGTAGGGACCTCTCTCATCTTTATGATCCGAATTTTTTTTTATCTTATTTTATTTTTTTATTTTTTGTTAAGGAGGGGTTGGGGTGTTCTCTGACGAGGACCTGATATTTTTTGATGTTTCTGTTTGTTATTTGTATCTGCCGAAAAGAGAAATCTGGTCTTCATTCTCATGCAAGGAAATTATAATAAATCTTCTGAAGTTATTTTTTAATCCTTAGATTTAAATATAAATTCTTACAGCAATTTTTTTTAAAGTAGTTTTTTTTCTTTTTTTTTTTTTTAAATTTTTCAGGCTTAGTATTGTTTGATTTTAGTTTCCTTCTCTCACTATACAACAGATCTTTTCTTTTCAATTAGTTTCTAAACTTCTGTCATTTTCAGTAAATCCTGTCTATTGCTTCAATTAATATTTTATGCCATGTCTCTTTGGGGCGTAGGCGATCATGCCTCTGCACACATTCCTTTATTATTATTTTTATTATTATTATTATTATTATTAGAAAGAGAAAGGCAGTATAATAGTTCCTTTTTGCTTTCTCATCGGTTTAGAATTCAAAGTTTTCTCTCTCTTAGCCACCTAAGACAAAGAGCTTAGTCTACCCTGTTATTTTTCCCTATAGTTGGTGAGTGGAGAAAAGACGGAATCTTGCCTTTTCCAAGGGTATTTGTGTACAAGTGAACACAAGAGACGATCTCGGTTTTCGAACTCGTATCGCCGTTTCCCTATCCGCACACCCTCGATTACTACCGAAGGGATTTCGTCTTTTTCTTGTGTACTTGAAACAATTGTATTATATTGTCACATTGTCAAAGGTCGATGTAATTATGTCATGCGAACTAAGCCGGTGTCCTATGACATTAATCCTTTTAGCATTGGATAGCTTTCAAACTGCAGCAACGTTCTTGTTGATTCAAGTCACGTCTATTTTTTGGTCTACTTTATAATTCAAATACTTCCGATCTCTTCCCAACGACCTGTACCAGACGCGCCGATAATGATGGGTACTTTATCACTAACCTTTTTTCCCAAAAAATTATCTGGCATGATTCAAACTGTTTTTCGCGTTCTTTCGGTTCATTCACCAAACTCTTTAAGTGAATAGAATTTGGCATGTGTTCAGACATGCATGAGCAACGACAAATCTCCGTGACCAGTATCAGAAACTTTCCATTTTGTTTAAAGGGGAAGGTGCTGTAACGAAGTTGGAATCACCAGGACCATCTTTATTTCTAGTCCTGTCTGAAGGCAATAGAGTCGGCACTGTGCCCTTTCTGAAGTCGAGAATCTAGCTGAAGCAAACAAATTCTACAATTTAAACCCATATTTACTTTACCCCGTCCACGGAGATAGGATGCGATACGTGGTCGATTTAATATGGGATGTCCATACGCGTAAACACTATCCAGTCCCTGCAATCAGTGTCACGCTGACGTTAGTATGACCCCCCCTCCTCTTCAGTACAATGACGGAAATACTACTGCAGGGTTGAAATCCATGGGACTAAGCCTCCGTCATTCCAAAACCATGAAGTATTCGAAGGTTTAAATACAACAGTAACAGATAAGAACAGATAATCCGCTTAGATCTTAGCCTGAAGGCAGAAGGAATTTTTTTTTAATTTTCCCACAGTTGTAGGATTTAACATATCCTTTTAATGTGAGGTGCAGTACATACAGTCCAAGGAAAAACTTGCCCTGTTCACAGAACCATTGTTAATCTGGCGTTGATACCTATCAATATTCCCTCTTTAGTGTAAAGGGAAAAGTGCTGCCACAGAGTTGGTATCCCCGGGACTAGGTCTCTTCTATTTCAAAACTGTGAACTACCAAATGGCAGAAATACAGTAGTAAGTGGTACAACAGGTACTACATTTTGATCCTAGCATGAGGACCAGAGAGCTTCAACAGCATACACTACTTGACAGCATTTTTATTGTTTATGATGATTACACTCAGTCTTTTATTAATGACTGGTTACTAAATTTCAATTTCTCAGTCCTTTATTTTTACTTTATGTTCTTTTTCTTTCTGTTTTCTTTATTTCTGTGACGGGTGTTTAGCTATACACTCGAATGGAATGTGGCTCAAAACTGAGATTAAAATCTTTGTCTCAGGTGTATGTGGAACCAGAGATTTAAAATAGCCCAGCTCTGATGGCATTTTCCCTTTTGGGAACGCTTCAGACGCCAGAGATTAACGCTAATCCAAATCCCGTGGATGTGGCATTCGGGAAGTGGCCCTGTGAGACTTAATTTTTAATGATTTAACTTGTAATGGCTACAGTAACTGCATTGATAATTATAGTTTGCACTATTATCATCCCCATTTGCATATTGTCAATCGATATCTGGTGAATGTTTACTAGTGGTCAGTGGTAAAACCGATCTCCAGTTCTTTCTTCCGTATTCTTGCACATCCAGTCGGTTTGCAAACAGTCTGACATCCTTTGTCAACCTCCAATTCTTCCAAACGTCTTTCAAATTGTATTGAACACTATACTGAAAAGTTTCTGGCCGAAGCCTACATTTGTTTTTTTTTTTCAACCTATAATTTAGTAAGCTAGAACGGCCACGTTTAGGATTGAACAGACTTTATTTTTTCTTCTTCAATGGACCCGTCTATATTTCTGAGATGAGGTATTATGTACACTATTTACATTATTCGGACTTTGTCGCCATGTTTATCATAACGTTTCGGCCGTTGTACGCTCCGGCCTTCTTCAGGTGGTTAGAATGTCGAACTGAACCCTTTATTTCGCTCACTGGGGTAGACTGTTCTGGTTCCACGTGCCATGTTTAATGGATGTCAGTTATCTCCTGTTAATTCCCCTCTGAAAGTTCTCCACTGTCTTAACCAGGTATTGAACTCACACTCTTTGGGTTCTGTCACTGGATCTAAATAACGCCTTTATCCACTGGTCCATGTATCCCCAGTTCGACATTCCAACTACCTGAAGAAAGCCGGAGCCTACAACGGTCGAAATGTTGTGATAAACATGGTGACAAAGATGAGGACAATAGTCCGAATAATGTAAATAGTGTACTGCAATGGACATTGTTATTTTTTCCATCTTCCGCTCAGTATCTGATGTTCTCGTAAGAAGTTCATTTTCAGATCACATCTTGTGATTTAAGAAAATAAACCGGTCATTTGCTATTTTTTTTTTTTTCATCGATAGGCTGGATCGAATACTTTTCGAAGTTTTCCTGCTATTCTGGGCAGGCATTTTTTTTATTTCCACTGGAAGTTTTGGGGCCAACGCGTGTTGAAATCCTTACAGTATTTAGTATTATTGAAGTTATCGCTAACATTTTTGTCGAGATTTACAAATTTTACGTTTCATTCAATTTCGCAAACCAATCGATGAAATTTGAACTGATTTCTTTGGAAAAATAGTTTGACAAAAACCCTACTTCATGGTTTAATAATTTCTTTAATTTAATTTAATTTTATAGGATATTTTCGTAAAAATTATTCTTTAAGAAAATATTTTTCTTTTCCTTTTTAACGGCGAAAAATGAATTCTTAGGATTTCTTACTCTTGAGCATGCAAAATACAACTGGCCATGCATAAATATTTCTTTCTGGAGCCAAATTACAATTTGTGATTTGTTCGCATGGAGAACTTGAAATTGGATTCTTTTATATAAAAACTTAAAAAAAGATATGCAATGGACAATATTGCATTTTTATTTATTTTAATAGTATTTTCTACTTTAAATAATAAAACTTTTAATTTTTCTAAAATAATGAAAATTTATTGGTCTAAGCTACGCACCCTAGTAAAAACCAACTGTACTTTGTACCCCCTAAACTGTTTGCATTTCTACTCGAGCGGTCAATGTGTGCCTATTTCAGAGGGTGTTACGGACGGACTAACAGAAGTCACAAAATTTTAGATATAGGTGGCACAACACAATATTTGCAAAGTTTTTCTTTCCCGCGTTTTTTTTTTGTCGGGTGTAAGGGAGCAAGACCACTTTACTCTAATTATCACTAATACTGTAATTAATTTATTTATTCATTTTGATTTGTTAGTTGATACAACCATTTAGTAAGTCTTTTGACCTGAGTCCAACGTTTTTGTACGATGACCGAAGTTAAGCAGCTTAGAGCTTGGTCAGTATGCAGATGGATGACAGCTTGGAAATACCAGTTGCTGAAACCATGGATATACAGGTGGTGTAAAGGATAATGGCTCAAAATTGTTAATCGTACAGCTGAGTTCCAATTCCCGTTGGGTTCGTTATATTTACATACGCACAAATACCCTTGGGGAAAGGTATGGATCCATTCTTCTGCCCCCAGATATGGGTTAATTAGTAAGACTCATATCAGTAAATAACTATATCTCTCCAAAAATTACTTACCATCTAAAATATTTTCTGGCTTTAAGTAACTTTCAAAGGGTTGATAAGCCTTATAAACAGATCAACCAATGAGCCCAACGGTAAAATAATTTTTTCTTAGGTTGCTTTATGGATTGAAAGAGATTTTCTGTAAGAACATTATTCTCATTAGCATTAGGAAAACCTAATTCTATTTCAAAGATAGATGTTCTGAGATTTTTTTTTTTTTCGTGTGCGCGTCAGTATTTTCCGTTTCCCAAATGCGGCCGAAATCCTTGCGCCAGCCCCCATGACATCCCCCGATTAATGAAAAGTTTTTAATTTTATTTTATATAATTGCAAAATCGCCTATTTTATCCGTTCTGGCAAGAAGTAATTCGAACATCATGACATCCCACCTTTTTAATACAATTTATCATATATATATATATATATATATATGTATTTAAGTAACGAAAATCTTGGTAATCCATATGGATAATCCCAAAGAGGATGAAATCCTGAGAGCTCAATGTTAATTCAGAGTGAATAATTTAAAGAAAAACAGACCACTTTAAGGTTCCAGTTGTAATAATTTATTTCACCAGAGACTTTTATTTTTCCCTGGATCTTCAGACATCACTTTCAAAAGGTGAAACGAAAAATGAAATTAAAATTTACACTTTTGACGGGCAGTATTAAGCTTATATAAGTTGACATAGAAGGTAGCGAGGGATGGTATGAGAGACATGGTCGAGTTTAGAGAGGAAAGGGAAAATTTATTTTTTTATTTCTTTTTATTATAATACTTAATTTTGATATATATATATATATATATATATATATATATATATATATATATATATCAAAATGAGAGATAAAATAAATGGAGTAAAATTCCGCTTTTAAAAAATGAGAAAAAACAAAAGTAGAAAAATATATTTTTAATTTTTTATACAAAATATTTTTATAATAATCTTTTAGAAAAAAAATCATTATTTATATATAAATATATATATATATATATATATATATATATATATATATATATATATATATATATGAAAAATGTAGTTTTATTTATACTATATATGGGATAAATCAAGATGAAATAGAGCGTATGTAAATATAAAAAGGTGAAATTGAAGTCAACACACAGGCCTGATGATTGCGTTTGGCATGAAACAATCTGTCGCCTCTGAGTGTTGACTTCAATTTCACTTTCATATATTTCTAAAGAATTAATAACCTTTTATTTATCAATCCGACAGATTTTATCAAGTTAAAGGTTATTTTTACTAGCTACTCATATTGGAGTAGACGCACCATTTATTTATTAAACAATATATTTATTCATTTTCGTCTACCGGCCTGAAATTCTAGAAGTCTTAGTATATATATATATATATATATATATATATATATATATATATGTGTGTGTGTGTGTGTGTGTGTGTGTGTGTGTGTGTGTGTGTGTGTAGATATAAACCAAATAATTAGATATTAGCAATATATATATATATATATATATATATATATATATATATATACGTTGCGTTAGCGTGAATACACAGGTAAGCGAATAAATATTAACTTAATTTAATATTTACTAATATTTAAATATTTACTTAATTTAAACAATATAATTTAATATGATTTGGTAGAACCACGACACTTTAAATTGCACTTCGGTAGGTATATGTATATTTATTAATATTTTATATATATATAGATAGATATATAGATAGATAGATAGATAGATAGATAGATAGATAGATTATAAACAAGCAAAATTAAGTGTCCAATAATGCTAATACATTAAAATAATTTAACTATTTCAATTAACTGTTTAAAATCTATTTTCTTATCTCACTATCTATACGTGTATATATATATATACATATCCTGATTAGCCTGTGAACTTTTCAGCCGACCCTCTTATATATTCTCATTAAATTAATAAAAGTTCAATGGACTGATGTCTCAATCTATCATCACTCTTGTTCCCTACTGTGCACTTGATAAAATTTCTGCTCCCAATGAAATACGTTAAATTCAGTAATCTCTATGTATGTTGTTAAGTGCTATTGATTTATATATATATATATATATATATATATATATATATATATATATTTATGTTTACATTTTATCCATAGAGAGAAATATTAAGTATAGTATAAACAAAAATATAATGTTAAAATTAATTAAAAAATTTAGTTTTTAACTTTTTTATTTATGTAATAGTTATAATTAATATTTGTACCTCATTCGTTAGAATAAAAATATTGGACTTCCCAGAAGTTCGATAAACACATCATTGCTTTCTGAATTCCAAAAACCAATTATTATTATTATTATTTCTTTGGATTTCTGTTGTATACACATTTCCTTCCGGGTCCCAACCAGATGTAAAACCCCAGCAAAAAAATCCTAAGATCACACATTTGCAGAGATAAAATTCTTCCTAATAAGTAAGCTGTACTGAATACAATTTTTGTATTTCTTTAAGGCATGGACTACCAAGAATTCCTTCAATGCGTGCCTTTTCCAATCAGTCCGAGGGCTCCAACTACTACTATTACTACTACTTATTATTATTATTATTATTATTATTATTGTTGTTGTTGTTACTTCTTCAAAAAAAAAAAAACAAAGATCACACACATTTTACATAGATAACTTGTACTTGTGAATACAAGTTTTGTATTTCTTTAAGGCAGAGGTGTCCAAACTTTTTTCAGAGAGGGCCAGGTGAATATGTCAGAGGGCCAACCATTCTGCTTGGCATTCTTTGAACCAATTAAATTAAATTAAATGCAAATGAACTATCTTATGAAAATTTTATTGCAAATGGCATATTTTCATTTCTTCACATGGATGACAAAATTAAAGAGGCCTAACCAAAATCACCCAGCCTTTCATAACTGAAGCCCATATAAGATGAAGTAAAATATATCTGAGAAAAAAAGAATTTCCAGGAGGTTATACCTCAGGGTAGTCTTAAACATTACATATTATTGGTAATTAATATTGTATGTAAACTTTTAAATTCATTTTCTTAAGAAGCAGAAAACATAGTGACACAAGTCCAAGTGTCTAAATAGATTTATAA